GTGTGCTCTTCCGATCTGAATGCGCCAATTTTGGGACACCCTGTATATATTATAAGGAGAATATTAATATTTCTATAAATTTTTTAGATCATTTTCTAAAATTCGGGAAATACGATTACTTAACTTCATTAGTTACATTCTCTTGATTTACATTCTTTTTATTAAACCTTTCTGATCTTTTTGTTACAGAATCACAAACTCTCTACGAAATCCCTTGTATATTATATTTATAACGTAGAAAATAACTGCAGTTTTGACGGCTTTCAAAACATCTTAAAAGTAGCCGATGCGAATCATGTAAATCAAACTGTCATATGTGAAACGCTCCTTATCGCTTACAGTAAGTTGTGTGTCCTCTCTTAGCAGTCTAAGTATATCGATATTATAATTGATACTAAAATTAATGTTAATGTTATTTATATTTGTAGGTCGAAAGGGAAATTGCAACCGTGCTTTAGAACTGTGGAATATTATGTGTACGAAAAATATCGAGCCTAGTGAAGTATTCAAGAATAATTTTATTCAATTTTTATTGTCAAACAAAATTCCGCTTCCGTCAGAATTGGACGGAATGAAAGAATTTGGATGGAAAAAAGTTAGTGATTAATGATTTTAAATACTAAGATTTCTGGCCATTTATCACTGCTGTTTAGATTGTGACGTCAGAAGCGAGAAATTTCACCCATGCACATAAAAATTTTTTGCAAAATATATTTAAGTAGAAATATTTTTCAATAAAATATTTGTAATTGATAGAAAGAGTATAAACTTATAAAATGCCGAAAATTTTCTTTTTGTTTCGATGAGAAATTAAATCATATTTATTATCATAACTATTAACATATTTTGTTTTTAGTTATAATTAGCATAATTCATTCCAGATATATGATTATTAATTGGTTGTTTAACTGACGTGTTCAACTGACAAAGAAAATCAGTGAGCGCTCTGTGATTTTTTATTATAATTAGTTTCTACACTTAGATCCAGTGCTTAGAACATATATTTTTGTGTATGCTCTAAAATCCAGCGAAAGACTAAGGGGCTGTCTACAATACGTCGTATGTCAAATTGTAAGCCGTAAATCGTAAGAATTGACCAATCATAGTTGAATGTAAGAAAAATATTCGACTATGATTGGTCAATTCTTAGTTAGTATGATAGTAGTGACTAGCGGCTTATTGTAGAATGCCCCTAAAGGTAAGAATCAATTATATTAAAGAATCATTGAGCACTCACTGATCTGCTATATCTGATGAATGTCTCCATTTTTTAACGAAATAAAAAGATATTGTAAAAATTATGACACACCAACGTCCATGTTGGCTCGCATAGACGCTACTTCACTATTGTAGATTTACTGTTGACGAGTCCTAATTCCTTTAAATGTACAAAATAAAAGAGTTTTATATTTTACAAATTAGTCCTATCGATTGTAATTGTTGTTTTTATTGAAATATATTTCTATTTTAATATATTTACAAGAATGTTTAATGAATTTTCTCGCTTCTGGTCATAATCTGAGATAGTAGTGATAAATAAACAGAAGAGAATCTTAAGAACAACAATACATGTGGAATAATGATAATCCAAAGATTGGTAAAGTAACCAGATAATAGAATTTCTTAAGAAAAAACTTTGCAGTCTGTAATAAAAATAATTGAAAAAATGAAATTTTGATTATGGGAATTTCTGTCGTCTTATTCTTTATTATTATTTCGTATTTATTATTTTCGAACAAATACTGTTAGGAGATAAATGCTCTTATATTAGTAATAATAAAGTAACGCATTATCTAATAAAGAGATTTTAGATTCTCTTGAAGCAACGCACCATAATCATTAATTAGTTTGAAAGCTTTTTCTTTGAGCGGCTCGTAATTAGCGCGTTCCTTTTCTTTGACTATAAATTCCTCGATCTCTTTATTATCTTCTTTTAATTTTTCCAATTTATCCTCTAGGCTACTGATCTCTGGATAAATCGTATATTTTTTCACTCGCTCTTTGAACTCATTATATTCCGCTCGCAGCGACTTGAGCTCGTCCTCGCAAGTTGACTCCTCGGATATCAGTCCTTCCCGTTCGGCGACTAGCTCATCCCGCTGAAGCTCATTTCGCGTTTTTAAGCCGTCCAGATCTTCCAGGACAATCAACTCGCTCTGTTGCTTCTTCAGCTTCTCTTTCATTTGCTTGGACTCCAGTTGCAGCTTCTCCTCCAGAATCCTCAGTCTGTTGAACGTCTGTTGCATGGTCGCGTAATCTTTCTTCAGCTCCTCGTAGTCGTCATCGCGATGCACCGTCTCGTAATCGTTGTATGGGAACTTGTCGCGCAAAATGGCCGTCTCTTCGGCTTCCGTGAGGTACTCGTTGTTCTCTACTGCGTTCGCCATGGTCTCCAGTTTGTCAACGATCTCCCGCTCGAGTTTCTCCAGCTTCTCCATTTCCTCCTGTTTGCTCTGTTCATACGTGGACATGAACTCCTCCATCATCTCCTCGCGCTTACGCAATTCCTGATACTTGGTTTGCTTCTCTGACTGATTATCCTCCATGTCGGTCTCCAGCTGTTCCAGTTGTTGCTCGAGTTCTGCCATCTTCTTCTCCTTCTCGGCTATCTGCGCCTCCGTCGCAGCAATGTCAGTGTTGTCGCGCTTGATCTTCTGCAGAAGCTGCTCTTTCTCGTCCTCCGGCGACAACCGTCTGCGTTCTTCCTCCCGCAATTTATCCCGCTTCTCCTCCGCCTCGATGATTCTCACTTGCAGCTTCACTGCCTCCTGCTTCAATTGAGAAAGAGCAATCTGCTCCTCCAAGTGCGATTGCTCCTTCGACAGTTGGTCCAATTCGCGCTGCATCTGCTGTGCCTGTTCCTGCAATTCCGTCTTCTGTCCGAACAGATCGTTGTACTTCTCCTTTGTGTGCGGATCCATACTTTCAATGATATGTTCGGTTCTTTTCCTTTCATTCTCGATGTCCTTTTCCATTTTGTGCAGTTTCTGTTCCATTTGCTTCCGTTGCTCGAACATCCGTTCAACTTCCGCCGTCCTACGGTCATTCATCAGTGCCAGCTCCTTAGCCTCCTCCTCGATCACCTCCTTATCCTCGTCCAGGGTCATTTTGTCCACGATAAGATTATAGTCCGCTAACTCGGTCTGCAGAGTCGTCAACTCCGCGGCCAAACTCTTGGCTCTTTTGTCGTAATGCAGAAAGGTGGCCTTTTCTTTGTTCTGCACTTCAATATCCTTCATTATCGTTCCGATCTCTTGCGTTAGTTCTCTTATTTTTAACTGCAGCAGGCCCTCGTAGTACCTCTTGTCCTGAATCTGTCTGGAAAATTGACAAATTGACACATATAGGTACGAATTTAGCTAGCACTGTTACGAGTCGAAGCCACGTAATGTTGAATCAAAGTATCGACAACCGTTCACTTACAAAATACTTTATTTTGACAGTGTACAAGGCAAGGTGTTTTCGCTACGAGAGACCATTTAGAACTGACTGTTTTCGGTCAAAAGAGATCTTCGTTTCGAGTTTTGCAGATGGAGCATTTTGTAGAGTAAACAGTTGACACGGAAAGATTAGACATGTTAAAATAAGTGAGCCAGGAAGAATCCTGAGAGCACTTATATGTTTTATTACGGTTAGGTTTTATTAGGGTACGGTCCCAAACATATATGGTCAGCTTAGGAATTCAAGAAGCGAGCCATCGATAACATGTGGCGTCGTTACATCGCGGCACGTTAACAGCACGCATGTCCAAAAGTAGATATAAGATGTTATTTAGATGGTCTTATATCGACTCACTTTTGAATATGCTTGCTGTTGTGTGCTGTTTGGACTCCCAGACTAATGTACAAGATTTAGGTAGCGTAGCACCATTTACCTTGTCATCGGCAAACCCCTGGTGGTGCCTGGTCGCACGCCCGCTATCCCGTGCTGCGTAATTGGCCTGTCCAGCATGCTGACGTTGAATTGTTTCGTAGTTGCCAGTCCTGTGCTGGTACGAACCAGTCCAGAGCCTATCCTGAGACCGGACGGGCCCGCAGTCGGTGCACGATTAGACAGAAGGGACGCCGACGGCGGTCTCGCGAGAGCGAGGCGTCCGGGTGTCGCTGAGCGATACGTAGCCGAGCTAACATATTCCGACGACTCATCCTTGTGCCCGCGTCGAGATCTCGGTCTCTCATACTTGCTCTGAGGTCTTACAATGCCTGTCGGCGGCCTGTCGATCTTGCTCGATGTGCTAGGTTGCACGTCTTCCTGGTCCCGCCGCCACCGAGTGATCGGTCGTTCTCCGATCTTACCAGAATCGTTTCTCTCGGAGTCCATTTGCTCGAAATGGGCTCTTGAATTGGAACGTCAGACGTTAGTCGCAAGTCGCACAAATCGTAAGTTAAACGTTAATCTGGGAGATGTTGCGATCGGGAGGAAACAGCGATTAGCAGCGTATCTTCTGCGTATTTAACAATACCGTTGATAAGCTGCGACGGGGAATAGCAATGTTTTGCTCAGCGTAGTCATAGAAACTAGTATACGTGTGGTTCGTTAGATTTGCCATGATCGTGCAGAACTGTATATTGTTTTTTTTATTGAGAATTAATTATAAGTTGAATTCCTTTAATAATCTAATTTCTATATAAATTAAAATAATAAAATCTGGAGAGGAAAGAGAAGGAAGGATTAATTTATACAAGTAAAAGATAAAATTAAGATACGAGACAGATATAATATTTATTTGTAAATTCATAAGATTTATTATAAATTTCAGAAATAGAAACAAATATATGATATATATGTCTTATACAATTCTATTCTAGAAAATATTTTAAAAGAACATACAATCCCTAGTCATATTATTTATATAGGCGCACTCATATTCATTATAATTTATTGACTTTCAAGAATCAGATTTATATTACATTGATCCATTTATCATTGCCGTAATCGATTAAAATATGATTAAAATAAAAAAATTGTTTCTATCTAAAAAAAAAAGACATTTTAAATCGATACCCGAATATCCGAATCTATAATCGAAGCCTCTCAAACGTTTCGAAGTTTATTATTGATTCTTTTCCGCGACGATGATTGATTTTCTCGCTGCGCTAACTTCGTGAGGCTGTCATTGACATAGTTTGATAGTTGTGTGTATTGAGATTGATGCGTACGTGATATAATAGTAAAAAGTAAAAAGTGTGCGCGAAGTGCGCATCTGTAATATTAGTACGTGTAAAATGGATGCATCTATTTTAATTCATTTGTCTTTTATTCATTGTTATTATTGTCATTTTAATTCAATGTTCATTACAATATGTCTATGGTTCATTCCAACGGTATGAATAACTTGTTAATAATTATTGTAGAGATGACAGAAAAGCGCACGTGTTTTTGTTTTTTTAATAGAAATCTTATTTTATTTATCATGTACAGTTGTGAACACGTCGGTTGTGACACTTTTTTTTATAGGTTTCTAATATATATTTAATATACATAATATATACTTTATAGATAACTAATATTTTGCAAATGCAAACCACGATGTACTATCTTTAGTTTAGAGACAGTATAACACCAATCGTGGTCCGCATTTACAAAATATTAGTGCGTTTTCAAACCTATAAAAAAGAAAGTGTCGCAACCTTTTAGTGAGCGAGTGTACATTAGGGTGGACCTTATTTTTGACTTTTGAATTTTTGTCACGACGTCCCCTAAAGTTGTTCCATTTGGTGAAAAAAAATTGTGTAAAAGTTGAGCTCGATCGGACAACGGAAAGACGTGGCACATCTAACTTGAAGTTTTTAAATAATTCTCGAAACACTTTGTAAATATCAAGTTTGTTTTTTGCAAATATTAAATGGCAATATTT